CCCCCCCCCCCCCCCCCCCCCCCCTACCAGATCATGCTGGATCCATCCCTGCAAGAACATTATAAAATTAAGATGATTCAACAAGAACATCATAAAACTGAATATCATCTTTGTGAAGTTATGGCCGGAATTAGTTTCTGAATATATAGTTACAGCCATTTCATTTTTCTTTCATCTGACATACTATAAATCTAACTTTATTTAACTAGTCAACTGTTAAACATCACTCCCTTAAAAATTTTACAACTACTGAGTATTGATTGAAGCACTTGGCAACAGTGCAATCACCATGAGCAGATACATGTACGCTTAGCGTACCTATTTTTTAAATAATCGTCGCCTCCTTCATTCTTGGAAAAGAGCCATATTTTTGAAATCAGTGTGATGGTCACCCATGCAAACCCATGCAACCACGATTATTGATGAACATTAGACTTTGCTGATTCTTTCCTTTTCTTGGGTGTAGATAGCGGAGCCGAATTACTGTCCTAGTTCTCCTTGCATGGGCTTATGCTCGGAACGGCGTAATCGTGCATGAAGACACCAAAATTGTAACGATAAACATTGCTTTCTTTTACAGTTAAAAAAGAGCTAGACTGTGTGAAGTATGCTGTTTCCACTCGCGATGAAGATCATGACATTTATGATTACAAAGAAAGAAGGGGAATAATGGAAGTGGAAAATCCTCAACTCAAGATTAAAATAACAGGTTATATTTTACAAATAATGAATGTTGAATGCAATGACAAAATTATTTTCATATTTTATTCCTCGTGTAATTTTCCATTCCATCGAGGCCACGGCCGAGTGAAATGGACAATTCCATCTTTCACTGAATGAAAATATTAAACTATTGCATGAATGAAAGCATTCATTATTTGTTTTATGTGACACCAAAATACTGAAAATAGATCACTTTTGTCGAATGTTTAAGTCAATTAAGTACAAGACAAATACATACCTTGTTCAAAATTAAAACATTTAAAATCTATCAAAAAAGTCCCAACAAATGTTTTATTGAAGAAATAATGTATGATAATGGTCGTCATTTATCGCCAAAAATTATCGTAAACATTATCGTAAAGAATATTGTAGCTATCTTTACACCCGCGATTTTGCTTCGCACGAGTTATGTATTTGAATTTAATTCTATCCGTGAAAATTATAATTAAATGAGCTATACGATTACGTTACAAATAGGATTTTGAATGATTGAAGTTAGCTAATTAAAAATTTACTTTCCAAAATAGGCCTAATTGTAGTGGTAAAGACTGCCCCAAACTGCCCAAGCTTCCATAAAGTTTTCGCAAATTTTGCGGAAGTTCCAGTTTAGCCAATATTTTCGAACTGTGGTGTTTTTTATTCATGCACCCTGTTAATTAATGCTTTAATTGTAACTTGAGAATTAGTATCTTTGTAGGTATTCTGGCAGAAGAAATTGGGAGACAGCTGATAATGCTTTTCCAGAACTTGGGTGACAATGGTGAGAAAAGAAACAAAGTTTGCCTTGATTGCTCTACTTGTAATCAACTTTTCATCTGTGATTATCTTATTATGTATAGCACAGAAAATCCAAGCAATGCATGTAGCTCTAAAATGTTTACATGCAGGCGGCTGGAAATTTCCAGATGGGAGGTAGAGTGAGTAGGGTGGAGGGAAGGTCTGATGGGCCACATTATTATACTCTTTATTTGCAACAGATTTGAAGTTGCAAACTTCAGTGTTATTAACTATAAGGTTGACTTCTGTGGAGTTATATAATATCCTTTATAGATCTCAAAAATTCTTTGTTTCATAATAGACGATTAATCTCATTAGAAATAACCTGATCAATCAATCTCGTAAACATTAGATATAGCCCTATACGATTAGTAACTATGTATACACTTACCTTCAAACTCCTTATTTTACTTCCCAATGATCATTAATACAGTAGCAACTGACAAAGTTTTATTCATCCATATTATCCATCTGAACCTCTTGAAGCGCGTTTCCTATTTCCAAAGATTGCGTCAAAATGATAGTTGAATAAAAGGGTTTGTTGAGGGAAATTTTGAGTGTGAATTTTATACATTTATTAGACCTATATTCCAGCTCTTGCAGGAATCGAACCTGCGGGCCGGCAATTCCAGTGCAGCGCTCTAACCAACTGAGCTACAAAGGCCAGTTGTCGAGCTCTAACCGCAAGTGATTGGGGAGAGTTAATTTAACTAAGGACAACCTTTTTTTAGGATTGATTTACTGTAGAAATTAAGCCTTAGTACTGGTGCACAGTTTTACTAATTAAAATGGATTGAAGCCCAATATATCATGCTTTTAATTTATGACAGCGAAATACAATGTAACTTAGATACGAATGTCTTAAAATATGTCAGAGAATTAGTATAGGTAATCATGCGATGGCGAGTACAATTAGGGATTAACAGTACGAGTGATGTTTGGAAATTTTGCCAAAATTGGACGAGCCGCCGGGGCGAGTTCAATTTGGCAAATTTCCAAACATCACGAGTACTATTAATCCCTAATTTGTACGAGCAACATCGCATGATTACTTGTTTATTACTAGCATGACAAAATTGGATACGTACTTCTCAATGTCAACATCATATTCTCTCGCCAAAGCTCAGTCCTGCCAGACTTTGAACCAAATTTTGGTGCTTTTGTTTGTATTTTCATTTAATTCTTTTGTTCAAGCAAAATTTGTTGCTTTTGTTCGTATTTTCATCTAGTTCTTCCACGGCAATTTCATTTCAGATTTGTGTTTAAATACCTTTCCGCCATTTTGTTTGTTTTGGGAAAATCATTAATTGTACTGCAGTACAATTAATGAAATTTTGTACTCCTCTAGATCTCAACCAAATATCAGCATCCAGTAATTTTGTCATGCTAATAACAAGTGTTTTAACAGTACGATCGGAAAGCTTCGGATTGAGAGTGGTTCAACTACCTGAAAAATACAGGCAAAAAGTGCGTTTGGAAAGGCCTTCGCTCGAAACGTCGACGTTTTTCTTGTATTTTTAGGCAGTTGAATCCTTCTGAAACCACAGCTTTCTGGTCTGATTGTCACACCACTTATATGCCGACATACACCGATCGAGGTTTTATTAACAGTATAAGACTCAAATTATCGAGTCGAACCTTCTTTGGAACGTAGAATGTCCGTATAATATATACTGTATAATCACTTATCAATTTCATTCGCATGCTATTCCTTATAATTATCTTATAGCTATATGTAATCATTTATATTAAAGGGTGTTACGAGCAGTTCTATGTGGAACAGCAGAAGCTACTCAATGGCCTAAAAGAGTTGGAAAAGAAGTTTGAGAAAGATTATTTCAAAGACCTTGAATTGTCTGTAAAATTAGAGGTATTCCTCACCAAGAACTTTCGTTGACGTTTTTTATTTGCTGTGCTGTTGTATAATTATATTGATGTTGAAGGCTCTTTGCCCAAAAGATACCATGCCGAAATGAAAAAAGCCACTCAAAATGAGCCAAAAGCCAGTTTAACTAAAGGGTCTAGGATACCTTCATGAAAATTACTCATTTCCTTTATACATTCAAAATTGTATATAAGCAAATTTTCATGTTTCTGAACATATCACAGGTGTGTTTTGGTTTACAAAATGTTATGGTGTGTTTATTATACCACAAAGGTTGAGCACATGACATACAAAAATTGCATGTCTATATGTGTGCAATGCTAAAAATATTTTCATGAATTTAAATGTTTGGGAATCCATCTTTCACCGAATGAAAATGTTTTTACTATTCCACGAATGAAAACATTCATTATTTGTTTATTAAATAATTTATATGACACCAAACTAAATCAATTTATCGATTTTTATTGATTTCAATGCTTTACTCAAACAAATATACATATCTTAGTTGCATGTACAATGTTTAAAATTAATAGGAATGCAACAAATATGTCCCAAGAAATGTTTGAGTGGAGAGTTAAATAAATGTAATAGTGGTATTTATTTAACTCAATGCATGTTTTGTAAAAATATTTTTTTAGCTATTTTTACATTTGGCTTGGCACAAATTATGCATTTGAATTTAATTACATCAGCCTCATTAAAACTGTTGGTTTCACCCTAAGTCCCTAATGAGATATTTAGGCAAGTGAGCGTGATGAAGAATTTATAACAAACATACTTGCTTGCATGCAGGGAGGTGAGTCCGGGATTGGACGCACCGATGGTGGCTGGAATTAAGTTTCCCGAACTCACCGAGCGAAGAGAGGTGGGTTCGGGAAACTTCCAACCACCCGAAGTGCGCCCAATTCCGGACTCACCTAACCTGCGAGTATGTTAGGTTTTTATCACATGCTATTTCGGTAAAAAGTACTAAAGAATTTACACATTTTAGTATATAATTTCTTGTTTGGATAACGAACATTTTAGCCGCTAACATACTCCGCAAACAAACAAACGTGGGATTAAATTGAAAAAACAATTCTCTGCAATATTCCCTTATTCTTGAAAAAAGAAAATGCACACATTCTGCGAAAACATTGCCAAGTAAACCGGCCCATGCAAAACAAAACTCAACAAATTTCGGCGGCCGTCTTTCTTCTCTTCCACTTTAAATACAGAATATTCTATTTTCATCAAACAAAATAAAAAAAAATAATTATAAAACAATTAAAAACAGTTAATTAATTAGTATAGGTAATCATGCAATGGCGAGTACAATTAGGGATCATGAATAGTACGAGTGATGTTTGGAAATTTTGCCAAAATTGGACGAGCAACATCGCATGATTACTTGTTTATTATTAGCATATCACAAAATTGTATACTTCTCAATGTCATCATCATATTCTCTCGCTAAAGCCCAGTCCTGCCAGACTTTAACCAATATTTGGTGCTTTTGTTCGTATTTTCATTTAGTTCTTTTGTTCAAGCAAAATTTGGCGCTATTGTTCGTATTTTCATGTAGCTCCTCAAGGCTCAAGGGCAATTTCCTTTCACATTTGTGTTCAAAATACCTTTCCGCCATTTTGTTTGTTTTGGGAAAATCATTAATTGTACTGCAATACACAATTAATGAAATAATTGTACTCCTCTCAACCAATCAGCATCCAGTAATTTTGTCATGCTAATAATAAGTTATTTAAATCTTCATTGGAAATTTGTTCAAATTGCTTCATAATGGCCACCGCCGAAACATCGATCTCGAACCCCCCTCCTAAACATACGTCAGCAGGTGGGTTCGAGATTGAACGAACCTCCTCGTAGCCAATGGGAAAGCCGCCAATGCGCTAGGTATAAGGTAATGAGGTAAACCAACCTGCTTTATATAATCAAGATGCTCTTCGGCATTATAACATTGCTGAAGGATGCATAGTGTGCAAATGCATAATTGCCTGAGATCAATCTGCATGGGCCTATTACGATGTTACTGTTGGCACTTGCCCCTCTTTTTTTCTATATACAGTACAGTATACTTGCAGTTTATCATAATAATTAACTTACAAGCCACACATAAAATTAATGCACTCGAAACAGGCAGGATATTCTATATTTGCCTCTCAAATGTACGTTGTAACCTGGAATTGTTTTAACTTTAGGAAAGCATATTACTTTTTGGGCAACATTTGATGGATGACTGTATGAGAACTGCCAAGGAAGTGATAGACGATGTCCGGGCAAGGAATGTTCCAAACGGCCCATTCTTGATCGCCAAAGCACATTACATCATTTCTGCTGTCTATAGACAGCGTGGAGATTTTTCGAAGGCTCGGGAACACGTGGAATATTCAACTGAGGTAAAGGTCGCATATCCGATGCATTTAAAATGTATAATGGGGTAACATGCTTCAAACTTCATGTTTAATACAATTATTTTGGCAGTAAACTTGACTTATATACTGCGCAAGGTCATAAGTGATAATCTCGTCACATCGAGCCCGATTTTTAACTCGGCCCACGTTGTTGCGCGTGGTATGTAAGATGATGAACAACTGTATATTAGTGCGCGATATATAGTTGGCACACTAATTGATATTCAGATAAATTAGGTTCAGTGAAGTGGATTATCAGTGTGGATTATAATGTTTTTGCTTAGGTCTGACAAATGTCTGATCAACACGCTGTTGCTCGGACATTGGCAGAGAATGGTCCGCCCACTATTTCAACCATTTTTACGTAACAGGACTAAAAAACATACCGCGGTACAATTGCACGTATGCAGAAAAAACATGGCGTACGCCAAATAGCACACGTTTGAAAACGTATACACTTTATGCAGTTCTTTCGCTTTGTATGTGTTTCTTTAGGAAATAAATGTATATGCTAACATAGCTACGCCTTATAAAAATGCCTAAAACATATTAAGTAGTATTGTAAACGCGCTGTAGACCAACAATCGAGATTAGGTCACCCGAGAGAGTATTTGCTAAAAGAGAAGATCAATGACTGTCACAATGCTTCCACTGAATGCTTTTTTCATCCAATTATTCATTGATTGCATGGTACAATAGGTATAGGATGTAAACAGTACTTTTTACATAAGCTACACGCAATTGAAATTAACATAGTGTATTTTATTTGATTGGTCAAAATGTCCATGCAGAATGAAATTTATCGCCAATTCGGTGTTTTTGTTCAGCAAATAGCAGATTACCGACCGTTATAATCCACACTGTGGATTATTAGTGTTCAGGGATGTGGGGGTTCTCATTCAATATTCAAGACATAATCAAGCAAAGCTAGCAATGGCAAAGCTAGTCATGACAACTGATCATGCTATGTTAAACCTGCATTTAAAAAAGACAATACATCTTTAAAGGTTTAATAGTAAGACCACTCACCTGTATTCATTTATACGTGGACTGACTGCTCACGCTCGCGCGATCGGTGTCCTCACTTTTACTTCGTAATACAGGTTCTTACTCTCATGCGATATTCGCTGACTGAAGATATAAAACGATCACCAAACTCAAGATTGCCGTTAAAAGTGAAATGATGAAAAAGACTGGCTTAAAAAAATATATTGCTTTTTCTTTGCAAGTTATAGTTCAGGAAAAATACTACAAGTTTGCGCGTAGATTTTCACAACATGACTTACAAAAAATATAAAAAATATAGTTCGCCCACAAACAATAACAAAGGTTTTAACCAACGCTAGGATCGACCTATATTACGAAGCAAAAATGCGGACACATTTTGACTTCGAGTACCCAGGCCTGGTTAATTGTAATTAACTGGCAGATCCATGGGCATGGCCCGTTGCTATATGGCTAGCTTCGCCATTGTAAACAATGTATTTTCAAAGAGAGCTGTTGTTCCGAAAATGAGAATCTGCTGAAACGTGCTCAGTGGCGGCGCCAGGCTTCCAAATTTGGGGGGGCATTTGAGGGGCAAACTCAAATTTTGGGGGGCAAGATCGAATTTTTAAAAAGGTCGCCCCCAGGAAATTCGCCCCCCTTCCCTCAAAACGTGGCGATATTCCTAGGAATAT